TCTTCAGAAAAAGGGTCTGAAGAAGGGTCTAGACCCGAAACGTCAGCTTTCCTGCTCCTCTGATGCTGCTTGGCCTGCTGTGTTCATCCAGCTCTACACCAGATTGATTATCACACTGCAAATCATTCCAACGCCTGTCAATGGCAAACAGTTAGAGCAGGATAGATTCTTTGTCAGCCATTTGATAGAAAGAATGGTACTGCCTCCAGCATCACTTTGAAAAGCTCCAGTCTACACATGCATGTAAAAGAATGTTGCAACAGCAACATGACTCCCATAAGCAGTTGTTAACACCCACCTCAAAGCAAATGCTCAAGTATTCAAGAAGCTCTTGAAAACAATGGTCCAGAATATTTTTCCCTAATAATATTGATGAATGTCAATTCATTGCAGTTGATGCGAATCTATACTCTCAATGTCTCAAAGAGTGGTCATGTTCAGTCAATCAGACTTCATTCTCAGCAAGACTCACGCCATGTCTGAGAAACTCTATCCAAAGCACTCAGTTTACTTTGTGAGTCTCTAATCGATCTGTATTCTGCAATCACCATTTTCTATGACATCTATCACATGTAAGCTGACCAAATTCTGAAATGAATGACAAAACACCTGTCAAGTCATTATAAAGACTCAACAAAAAGCTTTGAGATGGTTCCAGGTAATGAGGCATTTGGATGTTCTTAGATGTGACTTTGCACTTAACTGGATGTATACCAGTCAAACTAAATTAAACTCCTCACAGGAGTCTCTGTATGGAATTTGATTGGAATCCAGTGACATTCCCAATCCTTACAATGATGTGCAGCACTCAGGCAGAGTCAGTGGGATGGAAGTATTTGCCATCTAAGGTGAACCTTCAGACATATGCGGTCCCCCTTCATCCCCAAGACAATTAACTTTCAAAAATGAATTACTCACAGGCAATGTTGTGCTGCAGCTCCACGATCCCTCAGCACTACTCACCAGAATGTGCTATACTCCACACCTCACATTAGGATACCACAAAACCTTTCTGATTGGTTGAAAATGTGGAACTGATATTCTTGATTAACCAGCATTTGACCATTTCCTATATATGCTGAATAGACAAACAAGATAAAGAATTAAAACAAAATAAAGTTTTTGCGGACATTGTGATAATAAAGAATTTCACAGCAAGAATATCTATAAAGAAACATATAACTCTAAATCATTATCCAGGTAAATGAATACATTTTGGCAGCTATGCATGTCACAATTTTTAATATAGTAGTTAAGCTAGATTAAGGCACAGGGGATTTATTGCCATTCAATAGGAAATATCAAAATGCGGTATCAAAAACTTGCCACATTCTGTGAGTACTGAACCAAGACAGTAACCATTCAAAATAGAAAAGCATTCTTTAATGTTATATGTTTACAAAAATTGCTAGTTGCTAATCTTTGATGTTTTTTGTCAAAAACTTATTTTTAGATGTTTCCATTTCATTTCTGTATGTTTTTAAATCCCATTGCATTATTCTCTCCTGTGTTAACATATTGTACTTTCTCTCTCTAGTCCCCTTCCACCACACTACATGTTGGAAGAGAAATAAAATATTCAATTGAGTTTAGCAACAAAGACACTCAAAATGCCAATTCCAAGCAGGGTAAATCATTAGCAATGAGTGTATTGTTTTACGTTGACTGCTTTTCAAAAGATCATTGACTGTTGGTGAAAGATGCCACAATATGTGTTTAACTATGGGATAAGTAAATAAAGTGCTGGAGAAACTGAGAAACACTGGTCGCATCTGCAGGTGGCACCGTAGCTTAGTGTTAGCACTGCTGCCTGACAGTGCCAGGGACCTGAGTTTGATTCCACCCTCAGGCGACTGTCTCGTGTGGAGTCTGCACATTCTCCCTGTGTCTGCATGGGTTCCCTCTGTGTGCTCCAGTGTCCTCTCACAGTCCAAAGATGGACTCATAGGCCAGATGGATTAGCCATGGAAAATGCAGGGATTGGGTGGGATGCTCTTCAGAGGGTTGGTGTGAACTCAATAGGCTGAATGGCCTGCCTCCACTCTGTAGGGATTCTATGAAAGAAACAGAGTTAGTATTTTGTGCATGAAGAAATCTTATCAGGCTCAAAACATTAACTCTGTTTCTTTCTCCATGAATGCTGCCGAGCCTGCTGAGTTTCTTCAGCATTTTGTTATTATTTCAGATCTCCAGCATCTGTGGTAGCTAGTTTTTATCTAGTCAAAGGATACTGGCACATTAAGACATGATGACAAAGACCACGTCAGATAGCCCAGCCGATGCCACAAATCATTTGGAAAGGTTATTAAAAGAAGGATCGAGATAAAGTAATACTGCTATTTCTAAAAGGAAAACAGAACTAGAGTAGTAGTCACAATCCCTTTCTTTCAGTATGAATTACCTAATCAGCTGAAATGTAGAAACATGTTTGCTGTTCATTCATCGATAGCAATCCAGCCATTTCAGTTCCCCTTTTTAATAAAGCCTTTATTAAAATACAGTATTTTGCTCCATCCCAACCAAATCTTTGCCACCCTAGACAACCACTAGCTCAGCTAGTGGTTATGCCAACCGTATGGTCAAGATTATTGAGAAAGTATACAGAGAAATCTTCTTGTTTAATATTGTAAAGATGTGTTGATTTATATTTTATTATTGATAACTGTATTCGAGAAAAATACTCATATTAATTGTATGTTATGAATATTCTTCTGTTTTACAGATCATCATACCCATCAACTTCCATCAGCATGACTCAGAAGCCAGGGCAGTGAGTAGGAATCATTTCAACTTTGAAAACTGCCTCCAGCCTTTACTTTTACAACCTCAAGTTCAGTTGTGTTGAAATTGGAACAAAATGAATGAACAAAGGTGGAATCACAACAAACAAATGGTATCCCCTAAACCCCTCATCACATCCCAATCCCTGAACTCATCATGACTCCATGCCCCCCAGTTTTGGGAAGGTGACAGAATTGAACTATTCAAATGAGGCACAGGATTTAAAATGGCCCAGCATAAAGAGTCTGTTGGGGTATTCCTCCCAAGACCCTGCCCACCCTAAAACACACACCAAGTTAAAAATGGCACTTACTTGAGTGACTCAGCATTTTGCCAAATTGAATACGGTGGTATATGGTGATTCCTGGAGGGATGTCCTTCATAGTGGAATAATGTGACACACATTTCTGCTGATTTAATATCAGTTGGAGTTCACATATTCCACTTCCATGGTGGTATTTAAGTGGCTGTTTCTTTTGTTCTGTAGACCAACGTCGCAGTTCAAATTCAGGATCTCCAGCATATAACTCTGAGATGAGGAGGAATCCCTTGACTTTGAGGGTGATCAATGTTTGGAATTCTTTACCGCAAAGGGTTTTTGAAACTCAATCATGTTCAAGATAGAAAACTGTAGCATCATGTGAGAGGGGAGTAGTGGGAGAAAATAGCATTGAGGTAGATGATCAACCATGATCTCACTTAATGGTGAAGTAGGCTTCAGAGGCCTAAGGCCCTACTCCTGTTCCCAGTTCTTATGTTCCTATGAAGCATAGCTCTAGCATATGGAGGTATCATCAGGTTGCATCCTAGTATGGAGGGCTGTATGATGATTCCGATCACCAAATCAAAGAAAAAATATTTGTACTCTTTGGAAGGACCAGAGGAAAATCCTAGCTATCAAAATTTAAGTTACATGAAAAGATCAAGTAAACAGGCTGATTTTTTTTTCCTGGTAAAATATATTTGGGATTGACTTTTTAGATGGTTGACAGACCATTGTTATGATAATTGATAGTCCATTTGCCAAGTAAGCTCTTCATCATCATCATAGAATCCCTACAGCGTGGAAACAGGCCCTTCGGCCCAACAAGTCCACACCGATCCTCAGAATATCCCATCCAGATCCATCCCCCGATAACCCAAAGCTTATGGAATCTTCATACAACCCGTCTTTTTATTGCGAGAGACACATATGGCACGTTAACATACAACTAGATAGTATGTATTGGATAATTCTTTACTTTTTATTTTCCAGAGTTTTCAAAAAGACAAGCCCCAACGCCAAGGTTAGTATCTTCAGGCTTTTGCCTGAGAATCTGATTGACAGTTGCATTTAATCTTCTGTCTTGATAGCTCTGTTGGACTTTTTTTAATTTCACTGTTCTGTTTGTAGCTTCTTCCTTTTGGCTACCTGTAGTTCTGTTATTTCTCTCCCTACAGGAAGTTCTTGAGACAGTTTTAACATCTGTAGTAAGTGTAGTGCTGGAGAGTGATTTACTGTCTTGTATAAAATAACACTTATTTCTTCTATCAACAGCTCTCACTCTATCTGGGAAAGCGAGACTTTGTAGATCATGTCGACACTGTGGACCCAGTTGGTGAGTACCTTAAGGGCTGCCATCTATGAAACAGAAGTGATGGTGCGCAGTGTGAGTGTGTATGTATCCCTTCCGCCCATGCAATACCAATAACACACCATAGTAAAGTGAATATGAGTAAGCACTTGTAAAGTTCTAATAGATCAAACATCTTTCCAATCAATCTTTTTCAATGAAAGTTCAACGTTCCCTTGGTAGTCTAGTGAATAAGTAATAACTGAAGACTAGAAATGTTCTAGGTTCAATCCCTGATCACAGCCACAATTGTAATAAAGACTTCACAAGTGGAATTTATTCATGCCTGGACAATGGGGCTGAGTTTTGGTCATAATCCAATTATTGTCCTCTTCTGAAGTACAGATAGTAGTAGTCACCATAGTCCCAGAAGACTATAGGGCTTCTTCTTCATTAGAGAGAGACAATCGGTGGGTAACTTTAACATGCCTCGGGTGAAAGTCAAGGTCAAGAGACTCAGCTACTGTGGGAATTGAACCCACACCCTTTGTTGGTGTAACTCTGTTGCAAACTAGCCATCCAGGCAAATGAACTAACGGACTCCTCACATATGGACGGGTAAAGGACCAAGTTGGCTTTGAAACCATGGGCAGTTGAATCATCCGCCTTTTATTACTTACAAGATAGTGTGAGAAATGTGCGAAAGCGTTAGTGAAAACCCAAGCTAAGTACTCATTTTCAAGGCAGACGGAAGAGAATAAGAAAAGGAGGGAAGAAAGCCAGTGGCAAGGTGAGCATGTTTCAAGTCTAGCTCAGAATACAGAATGTTGGAATGAAAACCTCCTCTATTGAATGTATGTAAAAGACAACGTTACAATGATCTCACCCCTGTTTCTCGTAAGTATGAATAAAAATTATGCAATATTATTCCTATCAAGGTGACCACTGCAGGAATTAGCAGAAGTTCTTTTGGTTCTGAGGTGAAGTGAGTTTTATTAGATTATCATTTACGCAAGAGAACTCAATGCTCTCTAAATGCAGTTGGCACTAAAAGTAAACATCTGTCTAATCTCCAGCATTGGCACTGATCAACCAGATGATCACAGAAATGTAACAATTTCAAAGTGACTTTACACACTGCTCATGTAATGTCGCTAATCTGAGTCTAAGGTTTTTGCCTGCTGCATCAGGACTGCAATGGGAAGTGGAAATGAAAAGGGAGAATGTGAAAGGAGAAGATTGAGAAGAAAGAGACTGCAAAGAAGAGAGAACAGTTTCACACCTGCCAATGATGGAATACTCAACTAACTGGGAGCCAGGAAAAATTCAAAACACTGAAGGCATGAGTTCTTTGAAAATGAAAGTGGAATCTCTAGATTAAGGCTACACAAGTTCAGGAGCTATTCTAAAAATGGGGGAAGGTTTAATGAGGGCTGTTGTAATGAAAACCATGTAAATTAAAATTTTAAATCAGGGATGTAGAACAGTGATGCATTCAAAGCTGCAATAACGACCTGGTTAAGTGTTCAACTGTAAGCATATGCAATGGAAATGCATTAGCTATGACCTCACCAATCTGGAAAGATGTAATTTGGGTGATGGCTTTTTTTGTGTAGAACTATGTGTCAGCTCTTTTGAAAACAAATATTTTGTTTCTAACAAACCTGTTGTTTTATTCTAATTTAAATATTGTGGTGCCTGGGAAATTAATGCTTTATTTGTGTCTTATGGCTTTAAGTTCAATGAAAGTTGATAATTAAGGATAAGAATATATACATATTCGTCTAATTCTTCTCTGTATGAGTTCAAATATACAATTGGTTAACTCACATATGGAAGTTATTATTATTGCATGACTGCATTTCCTGATAAATGAGTGCTGTGTTATTCTATTCTGTAGCACTAAAAGTATATTGGGAAGGTGCCCAACAGAGGGTCTCTAGGGTTAAAGTGGATATATGAAAATCATAGAATCCCTACAGTATGGAAGCAGACCATTTGGCCCATCAGGTCCACACCAACCCTCCAAAGAGGATCCCATCCATACCTCTCCCTCTAGCCCTGTATTTCCTACTGCTAATCCACATAGCCTGCACATCTTTGGGCTGTGGGAAGAAACCCGCGCAGACACAAGGAGAATGTGCAAACTCCACACAGACAGTCGCCCAAGGGTAGAATCAAACCCAAGTCCCCAGCGCTGTGAGGCAGCAGTGCTAACCACTGAGCCACATTGTCACACATATAGGGGTCAGAAGTAGGAGAATAATCAAAGCCCATGATTTCCTTCCTTGGCTCTAGTGGCCACATCTACCCAGGTATGCTGGGACAACTTGGTAGTATGCATGAAATGCCCAGACACCCAACGCTATCCTCAAAATTGTTCAAAATGTCATGGATTTCAACTTTTCCCTATTTGGATAGTCTTTAAATATCCTAATGCTTCTTGAATGTAATTATATCAGATACAGTGGGGGTTGGGGGTGACTGACCTGATACTAGGGAGTCAGCTCCACTGAGAAATGCACTCCAGGAGCTCCTGTGAGATGTGTCTATATCACTGTCCCAGAGTATAGTGTTTACTGTGTCTGCTAACATCTCAGAGCTCAGCGATGATGGAGAATGTACAATAGATAATAGAGCTCCAGGTACAAGTTTTCAGTACAGAGCCAGTAAGAATTAGGTCCGGATTACATGAAACTGGTGCTGTAGATTTGTTGGAATAGGCTCATACTGAAGAGTGCCATAATTATCGCTCACTATAATGATGCCACGTGGACTTACTTGTGGGCAGAACAGCTTAAGATCTTGAAGGAGTGAGATCTAACATCTGGTCCTCCTCAGATCTCTGTTAATAATGTCCACCACACCATTGTAACTGGTAAGGAATTGCAAATATGCAATAAACTACATCTCGTGATCTACAAGGGACTCTTCTTATTAGATGAGGACATAGTTTTCCTCTATCACATACGAACAAGAAGGTCTTCAACAACATAGTGAGCTGGCATGTCCATACAACATGGTAGGTGACAGTACAGATTTAATGAGCAGTGGTGTGAGATTTTCAGATTCAACTTGAAGTCACCTGCTCATGCAGCACACGAATCAGCAACAGGAAAGGTTTAAAGATTTAAAAGCCCTACAGAAGAAATCCTCATGGCAATTTTCAGCAAGGAAGAATGCTCTAGTGAATGGTGCAAGCATGTCAGATCTGGTAAGAGACACACAGGTGTCTCACAGAATAGTTCACAAGTCCCTGGAGAAGCAGAAATAGGTAGCCTTGCAAGGCGGGTGTCAGTGGGAGGAGTCCCAATTTGGAGTTTAACGATGAGTGAACAGACATTGAAGCTCTGTTGTAAAGATTAAAATCCCAGATGGGCGAAGGGAATCATTAAAAAGATTCAGGAATGCAGCCTGGGAAAGCATAACACCTATTTGGATGAGAATGGGGGAGGGGGTGGGGCAGTTGTTGTGGAACATCACAATGAATGGATGCAGAAATGGGAGTAAAAGGCCTTGAAAGGAATACTAATCTGAAGGCACACATCCAACAATGTCACTATTCCAGTAATTAAGGCAAAAACGGTGGATAAATTGAAAGCCTAGGCCGAGCTGGTCTAAAGGAGAAAGAATGTGTTGGGGACTTTATTCAGACCATGTAAAAGGCAGAAGATCTTTATTCCTGAGAGCAGAAATAATTTATTTAAATTGCAAGAAGCAGGAATCATTCAGTAATACTGTCATTAAAGTGGGAGATAGTAGGAACTGCAGATGCTGGAGAATTCGAGACAACCAGGTGCAGAGCTGGATGAACACAGCAGGCCAAGCAGCATCATAGGAGCAGAATGGCTGACATTTCGGCCAGGAGTCATTAAGTCTGTACGTGTAAAATGCAGGAATTGTTCATTTTACCTTTGAATGGTGAAAATCTTTTAGCTGCAAGATAGAGTCATAGTTATAGAATCATGCATCACAGAAACAGACCCTTCATCCATGCTTTCCAGACATCCCATTTGCCAACATTTAGCCCATATGCCTCTACACCCTTCCTATTCATATACCTATTCGGATATCTTTTAAATGCTGTAATTGTACCTGCCTTCACTACTTCCTCTGGCAGCTCATTCCATACATGCACAATCCTCTGCATGAAAAGTTACCTCTCAGGTCCTTTTTAAAAACAGCCAAGTCCTCACTGCTCTGTAATTTACCGCAAAATAGACACAGGCAGAGGCTGGGCAGATATGGGACCAGGATTATGTCTGATAATAGATCGGCTGTACTATAATCACTTACAGAGGATCATTATTTGAGGATTGCCCTGAAGATTCTCAGTGCTCGTGAACCTAATTGTCAGTACATGAAAGCATCTTGAGAAGGTCAGACAATGCTGAGTAAACAAACGATAATTCTTACAAGCATTCCAGGAAATGTAGTCTTTTGAATTTCTGTATCTCAGTTTGGGTAATAAATGGGTTGAAATACATCCATCTTAAAAACTTTCTGTTAAAATTATACCTAAAGGAGTTCTAGTCCTAATTGGAATTAGGATCTATGAAGCACATTTTTTGGTGAATAGATTGTATTCATGTTGTTAATTTTAGTGATGTGTTGACTTATTTCTTGCAGAAGGCATGTTGCTGTTTGATCCGGATTATTTAAAGGATAGAAAAGGTAAGGATTCTGTTAACAGATTTTCCATTCTATGATTTGATTACTTGGCTTTTCCATTTCTCAATGGGTACGCTAATGTCACTGGCCCACCATATGACTTTTTCCCATCTCTATGGCTTCCTGCTGACTCCAGTGTTCTGTTTCTGAGCTGTAAACCATCTGTCATTGATTGTTGATGAGAAAGGACTTAGCTCCAGTATGATTTTGGTTATTCACCTCTACCAGCATCAAAGAATACTCTGAGAGGTAGTGAAAAATGTTTATCGATAAATTATTAGGGATTGAGCAGTGGAACTGAGCCCATCCTTAATGAAAGTTATTTTGCATTCATGGTGACTTCTTGCAAAGTATGCAGCCATGGTGTAGAATATTGGGCAGACTCAGCAGCCTATCGATATCTTTGATACAATCCAAAAACTGTAGTAGACTTGTGTGTCCATCAGACATCAATTTAGTGAGGAGGCTGTGGTCTATGGTGCCAGGAAAACAAAGGTGGCATATTTGGATCCAAATGCAGACATCTCACCTTTTTTCAAGCTTCAGTATAAACATTTCAGATTTTTATGGGTCACTTTTATATAGAATGTACTTTTTGGATTGTTGTTACTTAGACAATGGCAAAGTTAGGTCAACAATTACAGTGAAGAGTAGTCATGATTATGCTGATTTGTGTAATCCTGTGATCCCCTTGAAGGCATTTTGTGATTCTTAAACTCTAGATTGAAAATCTAAACCTGAAGAACTGAGGAAAAGGAGAACATTTAGCCCTTTGTACTTATACGTGCCTCTGTTAGATCAGGATTCTTCCTTTTATTAACTTCATTTAGAAACAGAAACACAGAATCTAGGAGCAGAAGTAAGCCATTCAGCCCTTTAAGCCTGCTCCACTATTCAATGTGATCACCCAACTGTTCCCAGTTTCTCTCCATACCCTTTGACCCCATAGCCCTAAAAACTATATCTAACTGCATCTTGAAAACATTTAATGTTTTGGCCTCAGCTGCTTTCTGTGGCAGAGAATTTGACAGTGTCATCACTCTCTGGGTGATAAAAAGTTCTCCTAATCACTGTCCTAAATGGCCTACCCCATATCCTTAAACTACGACCCTTGGATTAACTCGCTTGTCATTGGTAACATCCATCGTGTATTTACCCTATCCAGTCCTGTTAGAATTTCATAGGTTTCTATGAGCTAATCCTTCATTCCTCTGAACTCCAGTGAATATAGTCCTATTCAATCCAGAGTCTCTTTATATGTCAGTCCTACCATCCCAGGAACCAGAGATAGAAGGAACTGCAGATGCTGGAGAATCTGAGATAACAAGG